TTATATTACATTTCCACGTGTTTTCGAAAAAACTGCGGAGCTCTAGAATTAGTTTCATGGATGGACCACTTTTTTGGATGTTTCGGATCTTCCGGAGGATGGTACTATTCAGGTTTATGTCATGATCCCAAATTATTTCTTATACACTGGAACCTCCATTTACGAACCAAAACGGGGGTTCGTAAATCGAATTAGTGCGTAAAAAAAAACCTCGTTATTTGGGATTTACTTCGTAAAAAGAAAACTCGTTATTTGGGATTTACTTCGTAAAAAGAGGTTTTTGAAAATATTGTCAAATACCCCAAAATATGGGTATTTTGGAATCGGAGTGACGTGAAGGGACCAAAAATCGATATCTGACGCCATTTTGAAACCCAAGATGGCGGCTTCCGGTTACAGAAAAACTTGGAAATTCTGCCAAATACCCCACAATATGGGTATTTTTGGAATCGGAGTGACGTGTAGGGACCGGATATCGATGTCTGACGCCATTTTGAAATCCAAGATGGCGACTTCCGGTTACAAAAAAACTTGGAAATTCTGTCAAATACCCCACAATATGGGTATTTTTGGAATCGAAGTGACGTGTAGGGACCGGAAATCGATGTGTGACGCGATTTTTTAACCCAAGATAGCGGCTTCCGGTTACAGGGAAACGAAAAATACCCTTAAATACACAACAATATGGATATTTTTGGAATCGGAGTAACCTGTGCGAACCGAGAATCCATGTCTGACGCCATTTAGAAATCCAAGATGTTGACATCCGGTTACAGAAACACTGGGAAATACTGTCAAATACCCCACAATATGGGTTTTTTGGAATCGGAGTGACTTATTAAGACTAAAAACCCATATATGACTCCATTTTGAAATTCAATATAGTGACTTCCGGTTACATAAAAATAATGTTAAATAAGCTTAAATACGAGTATCTTAAGAATCGGGGTGACGTGGTAGTATTTGCCAATTTTTCTATAACCGGAAGCCGCCATCTTGGATTTCGAAATGACGTCAGACATAAATTTCCGGTTCTTACCCGTCACTCCAATTCCAAAAATACACATATTGTGGGGTATATGACAGATTTTCCAAGTTTTTCTGTAACCGGAAGCCACCATCTTGGATTTCAAAATGGCGTCAGATATCAATTTCCGGTCCCTAAACGTCACTCCGATTTCAAAAATACCCATATTGTGGGGTATTTGGCAGAATTTTCAAGTTTTATGTAACCGGAAGTCACCATATTGGATTTAAAAATGGCGTCAGATATTGATTTTCGTTCCCTATACGTCACTCCGATTCCAAAAATATCCATTTTGTTTTGTATATGGCAAACCTGATCCCAAAAATACCCATATTGTGGGGTATTTGGCAGAATTTCCAAGTTTTTCTGTAACCGGAAGCCGCCATCTTGGGTTTCAAAATGGCGTCAGATATCGATTTATGGTCCCTGCACATCACCCTGATCCCAAAAATACCCATATTGTGGGGTATTTGGCAGAATTTCCAAGTTTTTCTGTAACTGGAAGTCGCCATCTTGGATTTCAAAATGGGGTCAGACATTGATTTTCGGTCCCTTGACGTCACTCCGATTCCAAAAATATCCATTTTGTTTTGTATATGGCAAACCTGATCCCAAAAATACCCATATTGTGGGGTATTTGGCAGAATTTCCAAGTTTTTCTGTAACCGGAAGCCGCCATCTTGGATTTCAAGATGACGTCAAACATAGATTTCCAGTTCCTACATGTCACCCTGATTCCAAAAATACCCATATTGTGGGGTATTGAAAGTATCTTCCAGTTTTTCATGAACCGGATGCCGCTATCTTGGATTTCAAAATGGCGTCAGACATGGGTTTCCGGTTCCTACATCTCACTCCGATTCCAAAGATACCCATCTTGTGGGATATTTCATAGTTTTTCCCAGATTCCCATAATCGCAAAAAAAAACTCGTTATTTGGAATTTACTTCGTAAAACGAAACCTCGTTATTTGGGATTTACTTCGTAAAAAGAGGGACGTAAATTGAATACAGCGTAAAAAAAGACTTCGTAAACGGAGGTTTCAGTGTATCACAGTTCCTAATGCTTTCGAAAAAACCGCGGAGTTCTAGGATCAGTTTCATGGGTTGACCATTTTTAAGGATGTTCCAGCTCTTCCGGAGGACAGTCCCATGGCCTTCTAGGTACATATTTATATCATGACCCCTAATTAATTTATATATGACAGTTCCAAGTGTTTTCGAAAAAAAACCGTGATTGAACACTTTTCCGGATGTTCCGGATCTTCCATGTTTATGTTATGAACCTAAATTCTTTCTTATATCACAGTTCCTAATGTTTTAGAAAAAACCGCGGAGTTCTAGGATCAGGTTTATGGATAGACCACTTTTACGGATGTTCCAGATCTTTCGAGGACGGTTCCGTTATCTCCAGGTTCCATATATAGGAACCATGACTGTATTCTGGTTAATTAAGAACATTTGTGCCCATTAATCTAAATTATGGATCTTAAGTCACTTGCAAAACCCATAGACGCCATTTAAAAAAAAAACGTGTAACGACTCTTTTCGCTTTTGAAAAAAGTAAACGACCCTATTTTCAATCTCACTGCAGTTAAAATAATCTACCGAGCCTAGGAATTCTAGAGGTACCACACTTTTTGAAATTCATCAAGAAATGGCTAAGTTATGTCATTGTAAACTTGCTGTTACACGTTTTTCGGAGGCTTCGTTGTCGGCGTAAAGTATTTTACCCACCGTATTCGGAGTGTTAATAACTTTTCAATTAGTTAGTGAAATTTGTTTTTCTTTAAGGTAATTTATAGATAAAGATGAAAGCTTACTAAAGATATGTAAAAAGTAGACAATTCTTAACATTTGAATCAACACCAATGAATTTTTACTCTCAAAGTCCGAGATGTGCAGCGAGCATTTCTCGCTTAAACTCTATTCTATCTACTGCTTCAAAAAGAACTATGTTTCGTCTACTCTGTGTAAAGTTATTAGTAAATGAGCACAGTGTTGGCAAAATCAGAAATCAATTGATATTTTTCCGCTCTCGTGCGCTCGCAATATCACGTGTGACATTGGAACAAAATATCATGCTTGATATTGATTTTACAAGCTCCTTTGATATTGCGAGACTATTCACAACGTGCAAAAATCAAGCTGAGAGCTGACTCGACACAAAAATGATTCCATTGCACATCGTTTTCTCTTCTCTTTTTAAGGTGTATTCAGATCTGAGCGTACATTAGCGGAGCGGAGCAAAACTTGCGTTGGAATGAGAGAGACAACTAGTACTTTTCTCCCTCTCGTACCTTCGTAAAATCTCTCCGCGCGTGAAATATCGCCCAGATCTGAATACAGCTTTAATCTTCACCGATGGCAGACGCCAAGGGACTGCTGCAAGCCGTTATGGAAGTTTCTGTTGCATTCGGGTGTAAAGCAAAAATCATTAAACTGATTTTTACTAATTTGCGATGTCACAGCTTGCAAAATCAACCACAGTTGTTTGCTTTTTGATTTTTGTCTACGAAAATCAAGCGTGATCTTCGTCGTTGATGAGATTTTATTTTTTGATATTTTCCCAACACTGAATGAGCAGTTCGTGACCAAAACTGTGTATGCCAAGCATGGACTACAAATATCACCCTGCCTCAAATTCTTCATCTATACCTGCTCCCGTCACTGCTAACAATGTTCAGCGAGTAAATGGAGCTACCTATGCTGCTACTGCAGCGGGTAGAAATCAAAATACTAGCCAACGTAATTCAAACGGAAATTTTGAAAATTTTGACTTAGGAAGCATTTCTGCTCCTAAAATGGAATTTTTACAGAAATCATAAATTGACATGATTACTGATATGTTAAAAACCAACTCCATGTTTGATGCTACTCAAACTAGAGTAAAATTTGCGAACAATATCGTCATGACATTGAAATTCAGTAATGGATTTTAAATTATTGAATATTTTAAATTGGAATGCTCGATCTCTTAAATATAATAAAGACGAGCTATTTAACTTTTTGTGAGTTCATAACGTGCATATTGCCTTCGCACGCAAGTTGATTTTCTCAGGGAGGCTCAATGAATGACATTTGAGAAAGAATTTCCGAACACTGATACGGCTATTTGCAAATTCACGGTTGAATCTGTTCTTGTAGGGTTTCCTTAAAGATTCGGTTCTACAAAACTGTATGAAGATCCTGGTTAAGTTTCATAGTTTACCAAGGAGCAAACCTCACTTCAACGCTTCGTTATGCATCTGCAAATTAGCAGAATCTACAACCATTTCCTATCTTGCATAAAACACTCAGTCCTCTACGGCAACGAATCGTAAACGTTAAAAGAAGCACACTTCAGAGTTTCCAAAGCATAACATTTTACAACGCTAAACTAGAAATGGCATCTGACGGCATCACATGACAATGGATTAAGCATCACAAATTATTGGCTGGGCGCATGGCCAAATGGTCGGCAGAGAATCCTGCTGACGTCATCGATTCCGAACAGTTTTACAGTTGAGGAACACATTAGACAACTTAACGTCCATGGCAATTTGAAGCGGTTAACTCCGGCCTAGTCCAGTGAAAAAGAAGTACTCCGTTCAACTCCTATTTTATGAATTATAACCCATCAACTACAAGATTGAGCTACTCGTGATCATACATGAAGATTCTTGAAGATTTTGCTTCTCACTTGTGTTGTAATGGAATGTCACTGTTGAAGGAAAACTTGCCCAAAAGGCCACAATTTTCACGACACGTTCTTCAAACCTATTTTCTAGCTGTTTAGCAAATACAATCGATCACTCAACACTAAGTGTGTCAACATCCGCTCATCAATAGCAATAACAAACTAAATTGATAACAAACTATCAACCTAATTTCAAACACAACACTCTCACGCTTCCAAGTAATCTCACTTCCCGATTCCACCAATATCAAAACACATTGACTATTGATGAATTCCAGTACACAGTGCACATTACCTTTCGCACTTTAAAATACTTTCACCGGTAAAGAACTCAATTCGCGAACAACCCACGTGGCAACGAGCGCGATCCACCCGGGAACGATAACCGTTCACGACCGATATTACGCGGAATCTACCGAGACAATGATCTGCTGTACTCCTCCGCTCTGTAGACGACTCAAATAAGCCGCCTGAACTAGCTAAGCCCGGCGCCATTATCTTATAAATGTGAAATATGATTTTAAGTAGCGGCAGTAAACATAACTAGCACGAAAAGTGTCCAACAGTGGACGCGAGGCAAATAAGTTCACGCTCAGTCAGTGTCCATTAGAGGCCAGCATCTCCACACAGCTGATATGCGTCTTAGGTGGCTGAATGTTAATCTCTCCCGGCTATGAGGGAATGGGTTCGGTGTACTTGGGGGAGATAAATTTGCGTTTCCTCGTGAACTGGTATGTATTTTCAAGCATGTTACCCTTTAACTCTTACGCGTGATAAGAATGCATTCCAGCTGTTCGCTGTCTTTTCGCCGCACACAAATAAATGATAGCTCGGCACACTCTCAATCCGCAGAAACTGTCGGTCATGAACGGTTGTTATTCAATTTAGCCGATTTGCGAATACGGCTATCGTAGATGGTAATGAAGTCGTTCTTCCAAATTTGAAAGTAATAGGAAAGTGGTATTTGATAGAGGGTAAAAGTTCAAGCTGTGGCCCTGAACTTTTACCCTCATTCATTGCCACTAGTTTAAAAAAAAAATAAAAAGTATAAGAGTCTGTGCCTAGGGGCACGAACGGAAACTTGACGTAGGACAGCGCATTGGTCGGTGCATTAGTTTGCAAAATGGAATGGATATCTACAGTAAGGCCTGTAATTTCAAGGTTTGTTAAGGTAAGGCTTCATTCAGAACGCTAAAAACAAAGCACACCATTAAACGAGTTCCACGCTTTCGAAGCTGTTCAATATTTCATTACAGCAGGGGGAGTTCCCTACGCGTTGGAAATCGTCATTCATGTTCCCGATCTACAAGAAAGGAGACAAGAGAAACGTCGAAAATTACCGAGGGATCACATCACAGTGCCTGCTCTAAAGTTTTTGAAATCATCATCAACGACGCATTATTCTCTAGCTGCAGAAATTACAATCCTCCTGACCAACACAGTTTTTATCCCAAGGTATCAGTTTCAACAAATCTAGCTCCGTTCATTTCTTTATATCTTCGGAGTATGGAAGCTGGAGCGCAGGTGGACGTTGTATATACAGATTTTAAGGCTGCATTTGACCGGGTTGGCCACTCCATACTGCTAACTAAACTTGAAAAACTCGGTGTATCCTCGGGTTTAACTCGTTGGTTCCAGTCCTATCTGACCTGTTGTTCTGTGTTAGAATCGGATCAGAGATATCGGACTATTTTACAAAAAGCTCCGGTGTTCCTCAAGGTAGCAACTTGGGACCATTGCTATTCTCTATTTTGTGAATGAGGCCGGACTGATCCTCCCAACTGGTTGCCAATCGTTCTACACGGATGATGTGAAGATCTATGTGATTGTGCGTAGCTTCGCCGATTCCTTGCGGCTTCAGCACCTAATCGATACTTTCGAAGAGTGGTGCTCAAGAAACTATCTCACGTTGAATGTACAAAAATGTAATATTATCTCATTTCATCGTAAGCTGAAACCAGTGGCATTCAACTTTACGATAAATCACCAACTCGGGCATCGTTGCGAAAGCTAACATTCAACTCGGGTTCATTTTCAAGATCGCTGACGAGTTCGCGATCCTGCCTGTCTAAAAGCTCTATACTGCTCTCTAGTGCGATCGATTTTGGAATTCAGCTCGGTAGTATGGTGCCCGAGGATTGAATCTGTTCAAAGGAAATTTGTTCGGTATGCCTATCGTCACCTTCTTTGGAATGATCCTGTGAACTATCCGCCGTACGAAGATAGTTGTCAACTCCTGGGTCTTGAAACACTAGAACATAGGCGGACGATTAGTCGGGCCGTGTTCGCAGCGAAAGTACTTATTGGTGATATCGACTCTCCAGGAATCTTGGCTGAATTCGAAATCTACGCACCCGAACGAGTTCTTCGGTCGAGGAGTTTCCTGCATCTTGGACCGTTCATGTCTGGGCGATTCAACGAGTTTTACGAGTTTTTCGACTTTAACTGTGCAGCGGAAACCTTTCGTCACCGTATTCAACGCAGACTCCTGAGAAGGAGAGTAGCTGTCCGTTTAGTGTACACGTGAAGGATTGTGCTACCTATTTATTTTTTGTTTCCGGGTCAACTGCATGACGAGGACTTCTACCTGATTCACGGACAACTCTATGCTATTGGAGGATAACTTTTTGTATGCTATAGACTTGATTAATGTTCGTTGTAATTGTATTGTATTATTGTGATTCATGTATTTCGAAAAGATATGGGGTTTTTACGCCTTGTCTAGACTTTTCCCCATCAGGTTTCATTTAGACACATTAAGTCCGATGATAAAAAACAAATTAAATAAATAAATAAATGGGAAAAAAACAGGCAAAAAAGGTTGGAAAAAATGGTTGTGGAACATTTTTCAATTCCCTCTTTTCGCAATTCACTTGACATTTCATCAAATCTCTAAACATCAACTTTTCGCTAAGCTGTGGTTCTTTTCACGAGTAGCTGCATGCGTGAATTCACCAAATTGAATTTACAGTTCGAAGCGAAGTGAAATACACTTCGATCTCTATACATGCCTAAAGTGTACTATTCTGATAATACGAGGAACGAGCTGCAGGCCTTTTGGGATGACTCACTTAGCGTGGATTACACGCAGGTTCATATTCTTCTTAGGTAAACGGTACCGGGTGGTTGAGGAGCTCTGAGATCTGTAGGCGCTTTCTCCACGGATACGATGAGCGAGTATGATGTTCTTCGAATGATGATGACGCTCTTGGTGAACATGGCCCAACAGTAGCGTATCGCATGATGAACTGTACCCAAACAGTGACGGTGTTGCTTCTTCACTACTTCTCTGGCTGGAGCGCTCTTCCAAGCAGCTTTGGTAGCAAGCAACTTGCGGGGTGTCTTTCTTTCGATCCGCTTATCGTCTATGTTGAGCTACTTCGGGTTGAACGATACGAATGGAAATGCGGTTTCGGCTAGTTTCGTTTGGTACCAACTATGTGATGGCTCTGTTAGGAAAGACACATTTTTAGTTAAATTTCTTAGCTGTTTAACTATTTTCATTATTTGTACTATATGCCACAAAACAGCTGAATGAAGCCTCCGTCGAATGGCATATTTCATGACATATTGCACAATAATGCTTTGGATAAATATGCGTTCGAAATCTTTCATAATTGTGTTACATGTTCCATTTTCGGTTTTCACAAACGAAGTCCTACGTCAAAAATCGGAAAATATCTTAGATCACGCCCCTTTCCATTTTAAGTTAGCGTCCGGTTATAATTGTTTCCAATCTTCATTTTCACAAGCCATATTGCAGGTACAGGGAATACTCAAAATAAGCAGGATAGCCCATTTTTGTCAACTTTGAAGTGATGTAACTTCGTCAAATATAGTTCGATTTTAATTCCTCCGAAAACAAGCCGATATTTTTAGTAAATACACAAAAATAAAAACGATTCTCAAAACGAATGATATTCGAAAAAGTAAATTCGGCCTATAATTAACCGAGATATGGCCATTTCTCTGGAATCGATTCTGAATGGGGTCAGATCTTTTAATCACACAAATCATGCCGTGTGACAGCTCTTTCTTCATGGTTTTTAATCAATAAATTTTAAATGCATAAGTGACTACATTGGCCACTTTCGAAACCTCCTGGATGCCCCCGGGGGAGCAGGGAACTATTGCATTTTTACTCTAAAACGTCCTTCATGATTTTTCAACTACAGTACTACTTTTTGATGCATTGATGGCAAATATCATAACATAACAAGGCCACCGAATAATTACCAACCAACGATCCAATTTCAAAGAGGTGAAATATTAAACCCCTACCCGGCGAGTGATGTTTTCCCGCGCCCAGCTCAAGCGCACCCGCCCAACAGGTTGACTCCAGGACGTTCAGCTGCATTGTGCGAGGCGTGTTCTTGCAAGCATTCGGGTTTTCTGCGGAATTGACGCACTACTTGGAGGAAGACAACATTATCGTAGATCCCGACGAACGCCAGGAATTGACGACTTCTCCGCGTTCGTCGCGACTTCTCATAATTTAAATTTGTCGACCGATAGATTTTCTACAGTAAAAACGACAGACATGCCTGAAGTCAATAATAACAACAGAAAGTGTGGTAGCAAAGATTTTATAATTTATTGCCAAAATTTTATCAGGATGAAGAGCGCGTTAAAGGTCAATGAAATGTATAAACAGGTAGCCGCTTCTAGTTATCCTACCATTTTAGACTCCGAAACAAGTTGGGATGCCAGCTTAAATAGTAAAGAAGTTTTCGGAGATCGCTTTAATGTGTTTAGGGATGATCGTGACAAAACGTGATCCAACAAAAAAATATGGTGGATTAATCGCAATTAGTACCGACTATGAATCGGAAAAGATTGAATCAATCAAGTGTAAGCAGTTTGATCTTGTTTGGGTCAAACGTTTTATTGGAAATCAAATTCACATCTTTGCGACAGTGTATTTTCCTCCTGAAAGTGGCAAAAAAGAATCATATGAATTGTTTTTTAGTTTGCTAATACTATCATTTCTAAATGTGAGCCTGAAGCAAATGTTCATATTTACGGTGACTTTAATCAACGAGCAGAAAATTTTATTGTTGATGACGAAAATAAATCTGTTTTGATACCGATTGTAGGAGACAACGAAACGCTCCATTCTTTATTTGACAAAAGTTCAGAGATTGGACTTTATGAAGTCAATGATGTCAGAAATCATAACAATTGTTATTTAGATTTATTATTTACGAATATGACCGATGATTTCTGCTAGATTGAGGCTCCTGCACCTCTATGGAAAAATAAAATTTTCCTCATACTGCAATAGAATTCTCCGTATTTATACACAATAACACCACAATGTTGGATGGCGATTTGTTGGAAGCCTATATTGACTTTAGACATGCAAACTATGAGCTTATCAAAAACAATTTAAATTCTATTGACTGGCAAAGTTTTATTAGAAATTCGAGCCCAGA